AGACACCGTCTCACTAAGTCCACCCTTGAACTCCATAATAACCGTGTGTTTAAAGATTGAAATTAGTTTGCCCTAAAATGTGCATTTTCTATGTACATACCCTAATATTTCCAACTAATGAAACAAACATTGCGTATGATATTTTCATTTTTGTTAAGAGGACAGAATATCAAATGATAATTCATATCCTTAACAAGAACATACAATATCAAATGTTTTTGGCACACATTGTTTTAGAGGCAATATCCAAAAATGTTAAGTTTTATTTGAAAGTGAACTACAAAACTAACACAGGAAAACAAAGCATTCAGTAAATGCTTCTCAGTAACTCAGGAGCTTCTGTTCCCAGGTAAAACTCAAACCCACAGAAGCCTCAATTCTCTGATCTGGAACAGGAGCAGTTACACAATAATTTCTCACACCATTTGAGCTGCACCATGGTAAACAAGGGGCTTTCCAATGCCTAGCATAGGTAATATTTTAACACAAGAAATGTGGCTCTAGGAAAGATCCCAAAACATGAAAAGTCTCCAGTAATGCAGAAGTGTATTTCCTGTCTAACAATCTTGAAGTTCATGGCTCGGAAGTAATCAAAGAAATACTTGGGTCTAAAACCATGTAAGGAAGGCTGGGAACGGTGACCCACACCTGTAACCCCAACAAGGAAGGACGTTTACTGACATTCCATGTGTTCACTACTCATCCTTCAGGAATTCTGAAGCAGGAGTGCATTAAGTGCAAAAAGGTAAAAACTCCAGTGTAATGATTCTTTGAGATAAGGAAGAACCATTGGGCATCTAGTGAGGTACACTGTAATGAGTGTGAAAAGTGTAGCAAGGGAACCAGACACAGGATGTCTTTCGTCTTGCTCGCAAACTAGAAGAGTGAATGGTAATTCAGTGCAAAGGACAACAGCCACGAAGAAAGGATGCAACATTCTGCACTGAGTCATTGTTTCACAGGCTAAAGGATAATTACACTGGACTCTGAAAACATGTAAACCACATGGCAATCAGGACTCTGCCTTGTGCATAGGTTTCCTTTACTCACTCACTAGAGCGCTTGAATGAAAACGGCCACCAATAAGTTCATGGGGAATGGCACTGTTAGGAGCTGGGACCTTGTTGAAGTAGGTGTGGCCTGGATGAAGGAAATGTGTCACTGGGGGCAAGTTTTGAAGTTTAAGGTACTCAAGCCAGGCCCAGTGAGGCACTCTTCCTGCTGCCTGCTAATCTGAATGTAGAACCCCCAGCTCCCTTTGCAGCACCATGTCTGGCTGTATGCCAAACAGGCTTCCCACCATGATGATAATGTACCTCTGACCTGTAAGCCAGCCCCAATTGGATGCTTTCCTTTATAAGACTTGCCGTGGTCATGATCAGAAGTAGAAACCTTAGCTAAGACACTGTCCTAAGAAAGGAATTTAGATCTGAAATGGACAGTGATTCAAATATTATGTGGTCCCATCCTGTAGTACCTGCCTGCTCCAGATTTCTGAAAATGGCATAAGATGCCTTTCCCCACAACCTGTTCCCCACCTCAGCCGGGAGCTTCCTCTCTACCATTTTCTGCTTTGCCCGTTCAGATTCTACTCTGGTCAAACTACTTGGAGTTTATTTTAACTTATGTTGTCTCTGCATGAGTGTGCTTCCACATGTCACCTTCAGGATCCATGAGAGACATCAAGCTTCCATGGCATCCTCTGCATACGCCTATCAAAGCTCTTCATATAATATTTTACATTATTTAGATATTTATATATCAAAGTTAATGCATGATCATCTTTCTCTTCTAACAAAACAGGTTCCTCTAGAGCTTATTAATTTTTATGGCACATAATGTAACATAGCATCTGGGACATAATATTATTCTCTGTTAAGCAAAGGAAACCTCTATATGGTCTACTAGAATTTACAACAAAATCTCATCCTTAATCTATGGGAACTACTTGTCTGGCATTCCTTAATAGCTATCTCAACTCTCCTCCTTCCTATAACATCTTATCCTGATGCTCCATTGGCTATTTTATCTGGACCAACTCAGTTGAACTTCATGTTTATGTCACACCAACACTGCCCGCAAAGCGACAGTGATAGAAATCCCACCCAGCTTGCTAGCTCTTCTACAGTTAACACTAACAAAAGAAATTCATTTAGTAGATTTATGAAAACAATTACCAAATGTCCCCTGAGGTCCTTCCAATACTGCAAGGTGTCAGCATGGACTAGCTGAATAGCAGCTCTACTTTCCATACACTTTTTGTCCCCTGATTTCAGATCTTATCTGCAATACTTATAGAGCTGTCTAGTCATAGTTCATGGACATGAGAGGATTGTACCCCATCAATAACCTCAGCTGTCTTTCTAGTAAATAGATTCAATCCCTCCCTAGTCAGTTGCTCAGCATGGTATTTTTTTATCACAGCCTTTTACACTGTAGATGGGACAGTTGTCTCATGCAGTATTAAAGCTGCTCTGATCAGAAGTTCAATCCCATTAAATGATAAGGGAAAACTGCTCACCAGCCCCAAATTAAAGAGCTATGATTAAGAGTCATCTCTGCCTCTCATAATTTAACTGAACCACAGCAGTGAAAGCTTTCTGTTGAGAAATGATAAAGATTTTAACTTGAAAGAAAATTCTAAGTACATTGCTCTTGTTGTCAGAACTGCAGAGCTAGGGAAAAGAAAAAGAGAAACATCAAATGAATGCACAGCCAAAGTTCCCAACCCAGGAATGCTGAAATACCAAAACACACATTCTATATTTCCAATGCAAGAGGCAAAAATGATGTAATTTTGCATGTATTTCATAACAAAAAAATGGTTGAAATGCACAAAACTGATATTTTTAAAGGAGAGGAGAGAATTTTATACAATAAGGTGAAGTCTGTTCATTCACACGATTTTATTTTCTTCCTCTCCTGCCTAAAGCATGCTTGACCTTCACAGGTTATAGCATCACGGTCATGGCATCACGGTCATAGCATCCCACCAGTAGCACCCCCAGCAACCTCAGCAGTGGTTATTCAAATAGTCTCACCTTCTTGCCACTGTTTTACCCATAATTAGCCAATAACCTTCCAAAAGATTGGTTTTTACTTGATGTGCTTAGGTGTCTTATCTATGTGTATGGCTGTTTTGCCTATCTGTTTTGCCTGTGCACCACTCGTGTCCCTAGCGCCTCCAGAGTCCAGAAAGAGTTTAGACACCTGCAACTGGAGTTGCAAATGGTTGTGAGTTGCCATGTGGGTGCTGGGAACCAAACTCAGGTCCTCTGGAAGAACAGTCAATGTTGTCTGCTCACCCATCTCTGCAGCCTTCACACGATTTCTATAAGACCAAATTTAAATGCTATCCTTCCCGTAGCTTATTATGACACTCTTGCAACATTCTATCCCACCATCTTGCCAGCACAGACATTTTCCGATGTTCCTTTGTCAATGTCTTCAAATAGCTATAATGTCATAATACACTTCAAAGAATATTTTGGAATCTTTCTACGTCTCAATGTTAGATCAGAGACTACATGAGAGCCATGATGACTGACACAAAGAATTATAGAATGCATGAATGTTGTTGAATAAGCAAATACTCTGAATGACTGTACATACAGTGGTAAGACATTAATTGTGAGTCACATGATAGGTAATATTCATTCTTTACAAGGATGTGAACAAGTTACTTCCCTCCTATGAGACTTGCCTTTTCCCACGTTTTAAAGTAAGCATAATGGGAATGTGGAGTGCAGTCCAGTGGCCCATACAGTGCATAAGGCTCTGGATTCAAGCACCACAATCAATCAGATAATTAGCAAACACCAATCAATCAGCAAACAAACTAAAGACTCTTGATACAGTAAAAGACCGGAAGTGTAATTAGCCCAGTTTATACTACAAGTGTTATTATTATAAAGTTTAAATAAAATAAAAAATATTTAGATATGTTTGTTTTAAAGTTGAAAAAATATTCTACAAAAAACTGCAAGGACTTAGGAGTAGTAATATCCTATATATATATATATATATATATATATATATATTAATCAGTAAATTTGGAAATTGATCTATCATATAAAAGTAGTTGTTGTATATCCCTTAGTGAAAAGTGATGGAAGGACTGTAAGAGGAATTGGAGGCTATGAAATTTGCATGGAATAAAAAGGCATGCCATAGTGTAGAGTTTTAAATAAAACAGCAAATTATCAATTTTTAACTTCTGTTCATTTACAACTGTTTTGTCAGTGATGACAAAGAAAAGTTATCTTTAGGACATAAAGTGGGACCTTCTCATCTTGTAAGCAACAACATAGGCAGTGAAGGGATTTGCTTGAGGCAAGCAGAGTCAGCAGGCTATAAACTTACACAAAAGAATCAAGACACATTTAATAAATATACAAAACAAACATGAGTTCTAGCCAGGCTGGCCTTTAGACACTTCCAGAGACATTCCCATCTAAATAAAAACCAGAAGAATTTGTCTCTGTTAGAATCTGGTTCATAATTAAAATTCAAAATTCTTGTCATCCTTTATTTTCAAATTCCTCACCTATACAATACATTTAAGGTAAATACTAAATAAGAAAAAAAAAGAAACTTAGATGCTTCTTACAGGAACTACAGAAACTCTTCTCTGGCAACCAAGTGTTACAGTCTTATATACTTAATCATGCAACAAAAATATATGGTTAAGCCGGGCGTGGTGATGCACATCTATAGTAGCCGCACTCAAGGGATAGAGGTGGATAGATCTTTGAGGATTCAAGGCTGACCTGCTCTATAAAGCTAATCACATGATGGCAGGGCTACAGAGTGAGATCCTGCCCCAAAAGAAAAATCAAGCAAATGGATGGATGGTGGATGGATGATGGATGGATGGTGGATGGATGATGGATGGATGATGGATGGATGACAAGTAGACAGACAGATAGATATAGAAAAGATATATATGGCTATACTAAATATAGTTTATTAAAGATCATAAGGATTGCATGATGACATACCTTGCTTTCAGCTAACCAGCGATGAGGGTCATAATGTATTTCAGGACCAGAGGTAAATACCTACAAAAAGAAGAAAGAATGTTAGAAATAGTTTTTTGTCTGCTATGAATTTACATAGACAAAATTATTGACCATAGCATCCAAATATATAATCCTCAAATGTAAGGATTTGAAAAGAGGAAGATTCTGTCAAGGACACAATCAATTTCAAAGCACAGCTATTTAGTGCCTATTATGGGTTAATTTTCTTGATGAAAATATGTCAGCCCAGATATAGACACATTAGATGAAGTAGCTGTCAAACTACCACCACTAGCCTGTGGAGTTGAGCCCAGGAGGCTTCACCTGGAGAGAAACCTTGACTAAACCCCGGTTGCTTCATCTTTGACCCCCTCTCAGTGCTGCTCCATGTCATGTACTCCACAAAGGCTTAAATGTGCCTACACAGAGACTTAATTCTGTCTTTTTATCCATCTGTGTACCTTGGGGTCCATTTTGATTTATCAAAGACTGTGAAGAACATACAGCTCATCAAAATGAATTTATGCAAACATTGCTTTATATTTCAAAAGACACAAAATTTTGTATTAAACGGTTGCCTGTATTAGCTGCTCTGATTTCCATTTTACCAACTCATTTATAAAATTGCTCAACATCTGGTTTTGCCTTATTACAGAGATAAAGCTACACTAAAAGATGTTACGTCTTTATAATTGTAAACACAAATTACATTATTCCCAGTTCTTTAAACTCCATGCTACATAGGATATTTTCGCAGAACTTATCGAAGTTTTATCTAAAAATATCCTCTCTTTTCTAAAGAGGTGTCTATTTCTAGTCTCAAATGCTTCCATATCTCCTGAAGTATGTGCATATTACTTCTCTCTCTGAATAACAGTAGTTAACTAACTCACTTAAGTGCATACTTAATACATATTAACTGTCCACCATATTCCATATATAAAAGTGTAGCAATATATTATTTATGATTTATTAAAGTTTGCCTGATGATTTAGACAGCAAAGTCAGTCACAAGCAATATAAGCCAGGCACACACCTTAAATCCCAGCAGTCAGAAGCTAGGAGGTGGTGGTATACATCTTTCATCCTAGGACTTAGGATTAAGAGGTAGATGGATGTCTGTGAGTCCAAGGCCACTCAGGGATACATGAGATTGATTTAGTCTAAAAGAGATTTATAGCTCGCACCTTTAATCTCAGCACTAGTGGGGTATAGAAGACAGGACAAGGCTTGGTGAGAGCTTGTGGAGACAGGATCAACACTTTCAGTCTGAGGTAGAGGTAAGAAGCTACTGGCCAACTGTTTTGCTTTCCTGAATTTCAACTTGAAGTTTGAACCCCAGTATCAGTCTCTGGGTCATTTGTTTTTCCTGTTACACAAAAGTGTTGAGGTGTTACACCCAACTTTCTCTCAATCACTTTTTTCTTTAAGTCTAATCCAACTATTCTGCTGTTTTTGTTTGCTTTATTTCATTTTGTCTTGTGTTTTAAAACATGGTGTTGCTGCTATGTAGGCCTGACTTCTTTGGAACTGTGGAGACCTATCTAGAGGAGGCTGGCCTCTCTTCTGGGGCTCCAGTTCTAGAAATCGTGGCCTGGACCACTATACCCAGTTCTAACCTAAGGCTTAGGAGCTCCAACTTTTTAATCAGGCTTTCCGTAATTGCCCAAACTCTTTAGTTCTTCTTCCTCTTTCAACAATGTATTATGCTGCTAAATATCTGTGAGCATCCATGTGTCAACAATTGTCCTTTCCTTTTCAATAACTGACTGACTCCATTAAATCTTTACTACCTCAATAAAATCTTCACTTTGAGCAATAATGTTTATTTGTTTTGATATAGGAAATACAAGCAACATTCATGATTCATGGTTTGCTCCACAGATTACAAATGACTTCATGTTTTAAGGAACATTTTTAACTGGTTATAAGTGGCAGAACTACAGGCTATTGGGGCCATGGGAACAAGAAACTACACAAGACAAACAGTATAAGTCAAATACACGAGTGTTTCTACACTGCCGGCCACACAAAGCACACTCAATATACAACGATCACCCAAAGTAAACTTCAAGGAACCATGATAAGAGCACCATGCACACCTGTGCTGTGAAAAAGAAAAGACAAAAAGAGAACATGTATGTATATCTAAAAAAATCAGAACACAGAATTACCTTCAGAGTATGTTGAAAGGATAATTTGTTCCTTATAAAGCAGAAGTTGTCAACCTTCCTAATGCTGTGACCCTTTAATATAGTTCCTCATGTTGTGGTGATAATCAACCAAAAAAATTATTTTCATTGATACTTCATGAATGTAATTTCACTACTGTAATGAATCATAATGTAAATCTGTGTTTTAGGATGGTCTTAGGTGACCCCTGCTATAGGAATGCTTGACCCCCCCACAAAGGGGACATGACCCACAGGTTGAAAACCATTATTATAAAGAAACACAATATTTAACAATGTTCCAGTCCACAAAACTCAGGTGTTTCCAACAACTGCAAGTTTTGATTTTATGCTCAAATATGACTGGAAACTACCCAAAATGAGCCATGGGCAAAACTTAAGTCCACACAGGTCAAAGACTTCAACATAGGTCCAGCCACACTAAATCTCTTAAAAGAGAAAGTGGGAGGTACCCTTGAACAAATTGACACAAGAGACCACTTCCTGAAGATAACACCAGTGGCATAAACACTGTTATTGACAATTAATAAATGGGACCTCCTGAAACTGAGAAGTTTCTGTAAGGCAAAAGACACAGTCAGCAAGATTAAACAGCAGCCCACAGAATGGGAAAAGATATTCACCAACCCCACATCTGACAGAGGGCTGATTTCCAAAATATACAAAGAGCTCAAGAAGCTAGTCACCAAAACACCAAATAATTCAACTAAAAAGTAGGGTATATAACTAAACAGAGAATTCTCAATAAAGGAATCTAAAAATGACTGAAAGACACTTAAGAAAGTGCTCAGAAAATGTGGTACATTTATACAATGGAGTACTACTCAGCAGAAAAAAACAATGGAATCTTGAAATTCCCAGACTAATGGATGGAACTAGCAGAAACCATCCTAAGTGAGGTAACCCAGTAACAGAAAGACAAACATGGTATGTACTCACTCATATATGGATTCTAGACATAGTGAAAAGGATTACCAGCTTACAATCTACACCTCCAGAGAAGCTAGGAAACACGGAGGACCATAAGAGAGACATACAAGGTCCCCCAGTGAAGTGGAAAGGGACAAGATCCCCTGAACAAATAGGGAGCATGGGGGAGGGGGGAGGGAGGTAGGAGAAAGAGGAGGGGAGAAGAGGAATGGAGAGGAGAACATGAGGGATCAGGAAGATTGAGTCAGGAGATGAATAGAGGAGAATAAGAAAAGAGACACATCAATAGAGGGAGTCAGGATAGGTTTAAAGAGAAATCTGGCACTAGGAAATTATACAGAGATCCACAAGGATGACCCCAACTAGGAACCTAAGCAATAGTATAGAGGCTACCTTAAATGCCCTTTACCTATAATGAGAAGGACGACTACCTTAAATGTCATCCTAGAATCCCCATCTAGTAGCTGATGGAAACAGAAGCAGAGATCCACAGCCAAGCACTGAGCCATACTCCTGGAATCCAACTTCAGAGAGGGAGGAGCCACAAACAAAGGGGTCAAGACCAAGCTGGGAAAACCCACAGAAACGCCTGACCTGAGCAAGTGGGAACTCATAGACCCCAGTCTGACAGCTATGGAACCAACATAGGACCAAACCAGGTCCCATGAGCATGTCAGTTAGGTGCACTGAGCAGTCTAGGGGGCCTCTGGCAGTGGAACAGGATGCATCCCTAGTGTATGAATGGAGTTCTGAACCCATTACCCATGGAGGGATACTCTCTCAGCCTAGATACACAGGGGAGGGCCTAGGCCCTGCCCCAAATGACTTGAGAGACTTTGATGATCCCTCATGAAAGGCCTCACCCTCCCTGGGGTATATATGGGGAGTGGGGGGTCATTGGGGAGTATGGAAGGATGGGAGGGAAAGGGAATTTGGATTGATATGTAAAATAAGATTGTTTCTAATTTAAATTGTGTGTGTGTGTGTGTGTGTGTGTGTGTGTGTGTGTGTGTGTGTGTGTATTTGTGTCCCCAAAATGAAATATTTTAACATGGAGTAAATGCTACATTGCTTAATGTATGCTTCTTGACATGAAATTAGGGTTCACAAGTCACATCCTCAGAGAAGCCTTAATAAAGGCATTTTTAAAAATAGCATTTGATAGAAAAAAGAAAAAGCAGCATATGAAGACCCTGTGGCAGCCCCAGAGTCAGCTTTTAAACCCAACAAGTGCTCATCTTAGTCTCTCAGCCTTCCCACAGCAACACTTGAACACCGTCTCAAAACAATTATGGTGTACTGCAAACGAAAAAATAGCTTCCAACTCGATTAACTCTACCAATTGAAATATTTAAGCTTTGGAAGCCTTTGACTGAAACAGTAAAATTATAGATTTTTATTTTCTTTCAAACATAATTTAGGAAAAAAAAGATAGGTAAAATATCAGCAAAGGGGCCTTAGACCTCAGAAGACCTCTCTCTGGTGGAGAAAGAAAGAAGAACCCAACTCCAACAAAAAGCCACCTCAGCACAATACCACATTTCTGGGTGGCCGTGTCATAAAAGGAAATGAACACAACTGGAAGTGATGCTGCAGCCCAATGTGTCAGGACTATGTCAAGTGAAGCACAGCAATGTCAGAGCTGCATTTGTAGAGTGTCTACCTTCAGGGAATTCAAACACCCATGGGACTCTCTTTTGTCATGTCCTGATGCCCACTAACTGAGAAACAATAAACCCATCTAAATGTGAGGGAGAGTTCCTGATTAGAACTTGAACAACAGGGAAAGTGCAACAGCAATGTGTTTACTAGAGTGGAATCCAGTCAGTCCACAAAGTTCCAAGTCCCATTTAGATTTCATCACACTATAGGTAGGAGCAAGTCCTCAGCCCCTCCAGGTCTGATTCTCTTTTCTACACTATATTTCGTGGAATATTGAAGAATTGGGTTGATTTTAGTGGCTAAGGGAGACAAAGAACACACCATATTTATCATTAAACCTCTCAAGAAGAATTGAATAGATGGTAAGAACATCATTACCAGGCTATCATGGTGAAAAATTCAGAATCCATGCTTCTTCACTTATGTATTCCTTGATCAATATTGCTGCCCCTTGGTTATCTTTCACTGAGTAAGACATGGGTAACTCGATAGAACAACATCACACTTTTACCAGGACTGTGTGGCCATAGTTTCTAGCTCCTAAGCAATGCAAGAAGTTATTTTGTTTCATAAAACTTTCTGAAATAAAATATGACTCCCATGTAATCACATGTTACAATCCCAACATAATTATATATTAGAAAACTAACTGAAAATTTAAGGCATAATGAGAACTCATAATTACTTTCAATTTCTCCATGGAGTCTTTGGAGAAAGTTTTACAAGCTGCATCAATTTCCTTTCCTATGACACCAAGAATGGATTCCTGTTCCGTCTCCAAACAAAGAAGTTGGTCCTTAAGCTGTAGCCTGGCCTCTTCCATCCTCCTTAGGTGTTCTTCTTCATTACTTATATGTTTCTCCTGTAGCATGAGAAATAAAACAGAACCTTATTAAGTGGAGTCAAGACATAGTTATCTATGCAACCAAACCTAAAAACAGACTAGAAAACAGTTATGACTGGCCATCCCTTCACTTGGCAGAACAGATATCCCATGAGAACTCAAGTACAAACAACTGGCAAAAATACTATTAAAATCCTAGGAACAAAAGAAACAATGTTGAAAATGTCCTTTGCCATTTGATAACAGCCTGTTAGTTGGTCAGAAGAAAAATTAAAATCATGAACTGATCAAGTGTGAACCCTAAACATCAGTAAAACACCAGAAATATAAATTGCCAAATACAGTGCTTGCTTTCAATGTGTCATCAACTAAATTCCAACACAACATATTCCTACAAAGTTCTCATCTTTTGAATACCATCATACTACATACATGCTTTGGGGACCGGAAAAATTCAATAGAAGCCAAGATGGAAACACATTCCAAGTAAACAAATACATTTAATGAAAAGATGTTTTTCAGGAGTCCTTGAAGAGAATACAAGTGCTTTGGGGTCTCCTCTAGGCGGAACAATTTGCAACCATTACTACTTATTATACGATTCTCAATAGTTATGATTAAACAATTTCATTAAAACTGAGCATCCTTGACATGAAAATTCAAACTCTCCAATACCCCCAAGTCCATAGCTTTAAGTATATTAGTACAATACTCAGAATGTTCCACTTTGGGTTGTAGATTAGGAATGTTTAACTGGTAAAGTCAATACAAATAGTCTAAACCCTCAAAAGCTTGAAAATATGAGCTGCTTCTGCTTTCAAGCAAGTTAACAAGTGTGCTAAAGAAATTCAAAGTCATATAACATAGGGCAAGCAAGATAATAAATTACTAGAACTGTATACATAGCAGACCACAGTCATAGTGTCAGTTAGTATGTGTTCAGTCATTATACACCAGCCCAATAATCTTCAACAATCAGACACAAGTAAACCAGGAAAAATATGTGGGCATCAAACCCACTCTGAATTTCAAAGAAAAAAAAAGAAATGAAACATAGCTGTAAAAATTAATCACTGGGGATGGAAAGATGGTTAAGAACACTGGCTGCTTTTCCAGTAGACCTCAGTTCAATTCCTGGCACCTACATGGCAGGCATTGTCTGTAACTCCAGTTCCAAGGAATCGGATGCCCTCTTCTGGCCTTTGTGGCACCAGGCACACAGGTGGTGCACAGAGAGACTTTTGGTTAAATACTCATACACATAAAATAAAAAGATATCTTTTTTCCTGCTATTGGGAATAGATAATTTTCTCATAGAATATATCCAGATTATAGTTTCCACTCCCTGAACTCCTCCCAGTTCCTCTCCACTTCCCTTCCTCTCCGGATCCACTCCCTTTCTGTCTCTCATTAGAAAAGAACAGACTTCTAAGTAATAACAACCAAACATGACAAAATAAAATAATATGAAGCAAAAACAGTCATACTAAATTTAAAAGTGGCAACTCAACAGGAGGAAAAGAGTCCCAGGAGCAGGCTCAAGATTCAGAGACCCTCTCATTCTCATAGTCAAGAGTCCCAAACAATACTAAGCTGGAAGCTGTAATGCATATGCGGAGGACCTGGTGGAAACCAACGCAGGCACTGTGCTTGCTGCTTCAGTCTCTGTGAGCTTATATGTGCCTTGCTTAGTTGAGTTAGAGGGAATATTTTGTTTAGTCATGAAAGGAAGAGTAATGTGTTAATAAATAAAAAAACAAATGTTTCATTTAAACTCTGCCTATATGACAAAATAAATGAAAACTTCTCTACCAACAAGTACAGAACCTTTCACAACTCATCGTCTGCCCTTACATGCAACCTTATGTTCTTTTCTACTGTCTCCTTCTCTGACTCAGTTTCTCAAACTGTCTGTGCATCTTTAACCCACAAATGCCACTTGTTTTTATCCTTAAATTCCCACACTTTCCTGAATAAGTTATTTTGATATTGTTGTGAAGAGTCAACATCAACATGGTAAAGACAATCTCATGAACTTCCATGCAGGTCTATTCTTTCTGAGACATTCAGTGGCCATGGTAGTCTCCCTGGTACAATGCTAAAAATTAAGATGCTATATCAGAAGGTACTGATGCATAGGAGACTGCCTACCTTGTAAACCTCAGTAATTCACAATGACTTTCTAAAGGAACTCTTTTCTGCCTCACACAGCCATCTCTTTCAAATAGTATCACCTCTTACGAATTCTCTTACTTGAATTTGTTAGTACCAACATAGTATCATTGTAGTCCTGTATAATGTCAAAAATGTTGATATTGTGACCTCTGTCAGTAATATCCTAATAAAAACACCAAAACTCCACTGCCACAATTCATTATTCCTTTCAAAGCAGCATACTAGTTCCAATCTCCCTTTAAAGACAAACTCACAGAACCATGGGATTACACAAACTACATCACCAGGTTCAACTAACTGGTCCTTTGGGAATTCCTTAACATTTCAGATAAAAGTTCCTTCAGCCTCTACATGAGCACCTAAACCATCAGAGTCCACACTATCTGAAAAAGCTTTAAAAATTCCCCATTAGTGAAAGTGTGACACTTAAAGTGTAAACCAAACAGTTGCGCTCTCTACCCACCACTAACTAAAACTTAACTTTCCAGATAAAACTCCCTTTCTTTACCACTACCTTTTTATTTGAGGAGGTTTCTGACATCACACAATATTTTTGTATTCTCTATATGGGCCCCATGGCCATAAATATAAGATGTAAGCTTGTAGCTGGGAGGCAGAGGCAGGTGTATCTCTGTGTTTGAGGCCCGCCTGGTCTACAGTGTGAGTTGCAGGACAGTCTCCAAAGCTACACAGAGAAACCCTGTCTCGAAAAAACAAAAAATGTATTTCCACTCTGCATTAGGGCAGTATTGAGGTTTGATTGTGCTTTTAACCAAGAGTTCATGTGTTGGAAGCTTGGTCTATCATGTGTCTAATCATGTCTATGAGTAGCTCCTAGAAGAGGGCCACTGGAGATGCTGTCCTCCATAGAAACTGACACTATTCTGGAAAAACTGGCTTGCTTTCTCTACAGGGTTGATGAAGTTAGAGACTGATCCTCCCAGGATTTTTAGCCAAGATCTTCCTGTCTTACATGCACATAGTCCCACCATAATGTAATGAAGTCATGGACCCTCCCCAGAGATGGACGGTCCAATCATGGACTTTCTGCCTCCAAAGTGGTGAGCTTGATAAATATCTTTTTAATAGATAAATTTTTATTTAATTTAGAAACAATCTTATTTTACATACCAATCACAGCTCCCTCTCCCTCCCATCCTCCCATGCCCCACACCAGTCCCCCCATTCCACCCTCACATCCACTCCCCAGGAAGGGTGAGGCCTCCCATGGGTGATCATCAAAGTCTGTCACATCATTTGGGTCAGGGCCTAGGCCCTCCCCTGTGTATCTAGGCTGAGAGAGTATCCCTCCCTGGGGAATGGGCTCCCAATGTACATTCATGCACTAGGGATAAATACTGGTTACACTGCCAGAGGCTCCACAGACTGCCCAGGCTTCATATTTCGTTATAGTGATAGAGAAGAAAAAGTGCTTAATATAGGAAGGAATACTCTAGATAAAGCATTCTTCTATGTACTAGAGAGAGGCTAAGTAAGATCTAATAAATCCCTCAGGAAAAGCTACCATGTCCATTCTGCTTCATTCTTCAAAGCTGGGAATGTGTGAATATTGCTTTGTAGCACACAGTAACTTAACTCCCTTTTCCAAGTTTTAAAATAGATATTTCACACCTTGGGCAGGGAGAACTAATTCTGAGAAAGCACTGGGCCAGGAAAATAAATACAAGTTAATTCACTCATTCTGTCAGATTTGGGCTATATGGGTGCATAAGGGTGGATAACACTATTTGCCCATTATTGGGCATTCTAAGAAATTCAGGTAAATTCAGAAAGGGTAACATCCTATCATCCTACAAAAAATACTATCTTACTTTTAAAGAGCAAATGTAAAAACACAGTATTTTGGAAAACATTTAGAAATCTGGACCAATAACAGATACCTAGGGGTACAGGACAGCATGGATTTCTCTAAAGAGTACGGAGATAGATAGATAGATAGATAGATAGATAGATAGATAGATAGATAGATGCAGATTAGTCTAGGGAATCTAAGAAGATTGATACCCTTACTAGTGGCCAAGTGTGAGTCTTAGAGAAATACAACCTTCATTTTACAAATCAGGCATTATTGACAGTGTCAATAATGTGACTGGCATCCAAGGGCATAGAACCCAAAACTGAATGCTCAAACATTCAGGCAGAGGTCTCACTACTGAAATGCTAGAAAGGCAGAGGTCCTGTGTATGGGGACTAAATAGTGACTGAAGTAGAAAGACTATCTCACAGCTTAAATCCTGACGGGTCCTCATTACAAATGAAAACTCGATCAAATGTGGTGGTGTAGCACAGTAAGTACAGACACTGAGGAGGCTGAGGCAGATTTACAGGTTCAAATCTGTCTTGGCTATGAAGTGAGACCTTGTCCCAAACTAAAATAGAAAAAAAAAAAACCAACAACTAGAGATGTAACATAGTGTGCAAGGCCTTGAGTTCAACTCCCAGTATTGTAAATAAATTTCTAAATTAAAAAAAAGAGGGGGAGAAATTGAAAAGATGATGGCAAATTCAAAACAACACACCGCAAAAGCAAAAACACATCAAGCATGTGTACTCTCCCAAATTTTCAGGGGCTTAGAGAACCAAAGAAGTCACATGACACTAACCTTTTTAAGAATGTGCTAATCACACAATGAGAAGGCAAAGTTCTGTTGCCACTGCAGAGGTTTCACAAAGTGTCCACTTTAGGATAAGAAAGGTTTATACTAGTGACATAAATGCCTAAATAAAATACTGAAACTTCTCACAAGTCCATGATAACACACACACACACACACACACACACACACACACACACACACACACACACACACACACAGAGCTCA